TAAAGAATTTGCACATAAGACATAGTGGATTCAACAGGATGCTCTGGAGAAGGAAAGAGTGAGACAGAAATGAACAGTCTGCTACCGTCCTAAGGGAACCAAAGATTAAAGGAAAGAGAATATGTCTAAAATTAAAACAGAAATTACAGTTATACACTAAAATCATTTAACATTATTTAATCATATTGTCCAGGGAACAGTTAACTGACCAGCCTTTCACGTCTGTTAGTAGTCATCCCTCTGTATCTGTGGGGCTTGGTTCCAGGACCCCCATGGATGCCAAAATTCACAGATGCTGGAGTCCCTCAATTAAACTGGGGCAGTATTTGCATATAACCTACATACTTCCTCCCATATATTTTACGTAGTCTCTAGATTGCTTGTAATACCTAATATAATGTAAATGCTATATAAATAGTTGTTATGTCACCTTTTTTATTTGTATTATTTTTATTATCACACTGTTATTTTGTGTTTTTGTTTTTTTGTTTTTGTTGTTTTGCTTTGGAGACAGTCTTGCTCTGTCACCCAGGCTGGAGTGTTGTGGCACTCACTGCAACCTTCACCTCCTGGACTCAAGCAATCCTCTGGCCTCAGCCTCCCCGTAGCTGAAATTACAGGTATGTGTCATTATGCCCAGCTAATTTCTTTATTATTTAAGACCATGTTGCCCAGGCTGGTCTTAAAACTCCTAGACTCGGCCGGGCACAATGGCTCACACCTGTAATCCCAGCACTTTGGGAGGCCGAGGCGGGTGGATCATGAGGTCAAGAGATTGAGACCATCCTGGTCAACATGGTAAAACCCCGTCTCTACTAAAAATACAAAAAATTAGCTGGGCACAGTGGTGCGTGCCTGTAATCCCAGCTTCTCAGGAGGCCAAGGAAGGAGAATTGCTTGAACCCAGGAGGTGGAGGTTGTGGTGAGCCAAGATCGCGCCATTGCACTCCAGCCTGGGTAACAAGAGCAAAACTCCGTCTCAAAAAAAAAACACAAAACTCCTAGACTCAAGTGATCCACCTGCCTTGGCCTCCCAAAACACTGAAATTACTGAGTGAGCCACTGTGCCTGGCCTGCTTTTATTATTCTTATTTTAAGTATTATCAATTTGTGGTTAGTTGAATTCATAAAGGTAGAACTCAAAGATACAAAAAGCTGACTGTATGATTCAAATAAAAATTTTATTATTTGATTAACATTTGTATTCTATTATATAATAACTTCTAACATGACTCTAAGGTTGTTTATGTCTTTGTGTAATATAGAAATAAAACATTACAGTAAAATATGTTGATTTATAAGTTCTTAAATTTTCACCAGAGGTTTGAAAAAGCAGCAGAGAAATTTGGGAGGACAATATATTCACATAAACTGACATGGTGCATAGACTTAACTAAAAATAAGTTAGTATATTTACTCTGCATCATCATTTCTGAATCTCCAGTTCCTATTAAAGTGTCTGATATTCAATAGACAATCTGTATTCATGATCACAGTTCTCCGAGTCCATGGTCTATTTAATCAGTTCTGGTATCCAAGGTTCGAAATCTTGTAACCATCACTAGAGTGGAGAGAGGTAGTCACCACTTTTAGACTACCCTCCAAACCAGTCTACCTTTCATCATAAATTACATGATCAGAGACGAAGAAGAAAACATCTAAAGAGTGTACGTCTTCCTTCAACTAAAATAATGACTCTATTCTGGGGATGAAGGATCTGGCTCTACTTCAGGGTAGAAAATAGATGCAGAAGGATGATGCCCTAGGACACTTTAAACCTGCCCTAGACTAAGACTTGGGAACAAACACAGAGGTTAATTATCTGTGGTCTTTTGGAGGTGAATATCTTCCTTTGATTCATACACTGTAAGTATTTACGTATTTGCACACTCATTCAAGAGTTATTGACAAAATTAACATTATGTTGCCAGACATTTTTCTGAGCATCAGTGAAACAGCAGCAGATAAGCTAGACACACATGGTTCCTGTCCTCACTGAGTTTAAAAGCTTAGGTGTGAGACAGGAGAATAGGGTCTGGAGGTAGGGAACCTCAGGCTGATTCATGCTGACTTCGTAGAACTGAATCAAAAGGAAAATCCCACCTCTTCATCCTCAGATAACAAAAGGATCAATGGCTACTCCCTTTGCACTTCTCCCTTCCATGCCTTACAGATGAAAAATGGAAAATGCCTCTGATTGGTCACCTCCCCCAACCAATCAGACTGGTCATCGGCCAAGTCTTTATTTGCATAGAGTGTAACTTTGTAACTTCACTTCAGCCTCTGATTGGTCACTTACTGCAACCAATCAGATTGGTTGTGGGCCAAGTCTTCATTTACATAGGTTGTAACCAACCAAGTAACCAATGGTTTCCCCTAGAGAATATTTAGATCCCAGAAAATTCTGTAACTAATGCTCTTGAATCACTTACTGGAGCCAGCTCCCACTCTGTGGAGTGTACTTTTGTCTCAATAAATCTATGTTTTCATTGCATCATTCTTTCATTGCTTTGTGTGTGCATTTTATCCAATTCTTGGTTCAAAATGCCAAGAACATGGATGACTTGTAGTCAAGACCCTCCAGCAGTAACAGTTGGACTATAGACAATTAAACCAGCAGTTTTATATATATATAGAGAGATAGATATAGATATATAGATATAGATATAGTGTTATACATATATATATATGGAGAGAGAGAGAGAGAGAGAGAGAGAGAATACTGTTAGAATAAGCTAACTGCATTGTTATAGCATCACAGAGTGGGAGCCCCTAATTTAAACTTAAGGAGGAGTAGTCGAGAAAAGCTTCTTGGAGGAGGTGACATTTAAACTTCTGCCTAAAGATGGATAGTATTTAGATTTAGCCAGGGGCAAACTGCAGTGTTAAAGATGGGTATCTGCAAAGCCAGTTAGGAAAGCCAGAAAGACTGAAAGGAATCCCGGAAGGATGGAGTGGAAAATGCAGAAGTTTGGGAGTGCAGAGGTCGAGGCTCAGAGGCAGAGGAGATACTGAATTCCTTAAGGACGGGAAACATAGCATATCTTCCTTATTTAATAATTGCTAGATTATACATTGTAAGTGCTCCATCAATATTTATGGAATATCTACTGGGAATCTCTTGCTGCTATAAACCTAAAGTTCTTCTAAATTCTCCATATGATTATTCTTTAAAAATGTTTATTAGGTTTTGTTTTGTTTTAAGGTGGGTTTGGTGTGTGTGTGAGTGTGTGTGTGTGTGTGTATGTGTGCATGTACTAATAATGCCTTTTCAAAGCTCCACAGGCCCCCATCACCTCCTATTGTTTTATTTCTGACTACTTGCCTTCATGCACGTACGCTGCAATACCTGGTTTAGGATTTATCCTGGAGGAAATTGAACTAAAGAATGCAATCCATGCTAGTAAACAAATATGGGAATAGCTTATTGATAGATTAGTTCCAAGTGTGAGTGATATTAATGTGTGCAAGGTATATTAAGTTCTAAGCCAAGGCATGTAATCTCAACCTAAAAGATAATCATTTATCCCCAAATTTGAATGAAATCTGAATCCCTGCTGTGCTGTTTTTTCTTGCATAAAATGGTGTGTAAGAGGCATCGACAACTCCACTATGAAATAGTTCATAGCTACATTATGTCATTTTCTACACTTTTTGTGCACAAATGTTCCAGAGAAAAACTTGGGAAACATGCTCAACTGTGCAGCAAGCGCTGGACTGTCAACAATTTTAGCTTAATATATGAAATAAATCACAATTTTCTGATACATTTTCCAACATCAGGGACATGTAGTTCATAAGAAGAAATAAAATTGCAACATATAAATCATGAAAGATTCATTTCTAAGAGTCAAGGGGACTGAATTGGCGGCTAAAATAGAAATAGTGTTTTGGATGTAATAGTCAAGTGTTTAAAAACAAATTTCCTTTTTGTTCTGCTAACATTTTTAAAAATCCTCAAAAAAGGTTCTGGAGAATCACGGCCTGTTATAATAAACCATAATAAAGTAATTACAGCTTAGTTTCTGTAAAGGTTCTTGCCATGTAAATGTTCATTTATCTAAAATTTGCTTAAAACAAATAGATTAGATTCATTTCAAGAACAAGAATGACATGACTTTTTTGTTAACACTGATTAATGATTTCAGTTCCTAATGTCATTAGTCGACTATCATCATTTCACCATTTGAAAAATGGTCTCCAGAATCTCTGGGGCTCATCTAGACATGAATTTTTGCCTATTTCTTATATTCTACTGACCTCTAGAGACTATATGCATGTGTATATAAATCACATAGGATATGTGATTATAAATACATATAACATATATATCATAAATGACATATGGATCAAGAATAAAAGGATTTTTGTCACATAAGCCTATTTCATTTAAAAAACATAGCTCAATTACATATCTTTTCAAACAAAACGTTATTTGTGAATGTTTAATACTAAGCAGGTTGATAACACTCGCCCTCATGTTCTTTGCTTGGATGAATGATGTGCAGAACTCAGAGAAGAGTATCAGGCAAACTGATCCTATGTTTGGTTTGTGGCCTGCATCAACAGTTAAATGATAATGGAGAATTCAGAAACCTTGGTCTGCTTTTTCAATAAAGCCAGTTTTATGTTTAGTTGGGACAAGATTATATTATATGAGAATCTTCTCCCCCAAAATCATACCTGCCTGTATTTATTTCCCAACTCTCCTCCCGAAGAGGCAAGGCATGTAAAATGTATAGGTCACCTAGTGTGGGCTCCAGTGGCTTTGTAGCTCTTGATTTTTTTTCTCTCTCAGTGTCTTTGATTCCTAAATATATCCACAACTGAAAATTCAACATGAAAATGATACCTAATTTCAGATTAGATCATAAACTCCTTAAGAATTGTGTCTTTTTCATGTTGGCGTCCCTGGTACCTAGCATCCTGTGTGTCAGATTGTGGGAAATTAGTAACATCAGCTGGAAAAAAACACAATATTTTATCAGGAATGTACTCACCCTGTGTCTTATTAGGAACACACCCATTTTTTTTCTCTCTCTGTCTCTCTCTGGAAATAGATAAAGATATATGCATATACATATATTCTCTATATGTACATATGTGTGTACATACGTTTATATATATATATAAATGTAAACACAAATACAAACGCTAAGAGGAATCTTCTACATCCAGAACATTTGAGTAGATTTGTTAATGAATCTTCTAACAGTTTTCTTACATTTTCAGTTTTATGTACTATATTACTGTTTAAATTTTCATTTAAAATATGGATTGAAAACTATTGTTCATTACACTACATCATCAATTGCACCTGAACATTCAACAACTTCAAGTAGGTTTCTTTGTAACAGGTTCAGTTTTAATCTAGTGATAAAAGGGATATTTTTTAAAGTGTCACTGGAGCAATACCACTTTTTGTCTTTTAGCATATTGTGTCAGTTATATTATATAGTATATATTATATAGCATATATATTATATTGTATATACTTATTGCTTAGATTATGTTATACATTTAGAAACAGAAACAGCTTGAGAATCTGTATTAAGCACCTCAAACTGCTACCGATTATTAATAAACATGTTTGCCAAATAGAGATGACAGAAGAGTGCATTATTTGATGAGACTGGTACAAAGTGGCAGATATAACCACAGGATTTTGAAAATGTCCAAGCCACAACTGATGTACATGAATATGAGAGGAAATCAAAGTTTTTTTTGTTTTGTTTTTTCGAGACAGTGGTTTGCTCTGTTTCCCAGGCTGGAGGGCAGTGGTGCAATCTCCCCTCACTGCAACCTCCACCTCCAAGGTTCAAGTAATTCTCATGCCTCAGCCTCCTGAGTACCTGGTATTACAGGCTTGTGCCACCATGCCCGGTACTTTTTGTATTTTCTGTAAAGATGAGGTTTCACCACTTTGGCCAGGCTGATCTCAATTCCTGGCCTCAAGCAATCCACCTACCTCAGCCTCCCAAAGTGCTGGATTACAGGTGAACCATTGCACCCGGCCTCAAGTTTTGATTCTGTAGTAATATTCAGTAGACAGAAGCCTGCTCCCTGTTCTGCAGACTTGGAAGGTGGTCTGGTGACTTCTGTCCTAATCTGCAGTAACAACATTTCTGGCAAGGTTAGTTCCACCTCCTGTCCTTTCACCATTTCAGCCACCTTGTGGTATCTAAGAGGCTTTCAGTGGGTCAAATCCTAAAAATAAATAACTTATCAAGGACTGACTGGCACTCAGTTAATGACAAAAATGAGAATGGCAGAGGATAAGTAATTGGGATTTGGGCAGGAATAGCTTACTTTTGTACTTAATCCTAGAGGAACATGCTAATCAGAACCCTGATCCACTGTAGAAGGTACGCTTGCTTGATCTGTGTGGTCTTGTGGTAAAATTCCAGCTAGGTCGAATTCCCAACTAGCTAATTAAGAATGGTGGCTGTTCTGGTGAGAGGTGAGAGAAATGTTACAGCCGATACAAAGAAAGCATTATTTGGCATCATTAATCTACTTTTCTGCTCCTCAAACGGGTGGTAAGATATTGATGTATAAGCAGCTATAGTAAACCATTGTTTGTAAATAGAAAGATGTCCCCCTAAAGTTCAATTTATCCAGTCGACTTTAGTGAATAGTTACAGAAACCAGCTTTTTCTACACAATTACCTCTTCTGAACGATAAGTCACCAGTTTGGAATTTGCTGCTCAAATTTGCCCTTGCGTAGCATTAGCAGAGGTGCCAACGATTAGAGAAACAGTTCACATCAGGTAGCTAGGAACAAGACAGGGGAGTCAAGGAAGAAATCTGGATAATCCCCATGCTGGAAATTCATACCCTGGATAATCAGGACCTAACTCTATAGGCAATTATAATTCTGTCCAGTTAAGAGAAATTTGTAATCCATTCAGTTTCAAGCCTATAAAGGCACATTTCTCAAAAACTTGTATTTTGGCCTCCGATGGCTTAAAAAGTTCTCCTTACTAGATTGTCTCCAATTACAGAAATCCTTCCCAAGTACAAGGCTGCAGAAGTATATTAAACCTGCAGGATATCATGTAGCTGGCTGTTTTACAGAGCTTTACAGCACACGCGATTGCGATGCATGATGTAATATGATTGAAGCAATTCACCACAATCTAATGCTACTTATTCAGGTCACAGGTGTTGTCTTACTATAGGGGCAGAGAGGTAAACTGTCTTTGACTAGCAGGCTTGCCTAGTAAGCAAAGGGAGGTACAGATAAATTTATACTAACGTTGAGAATTCCCCCGACTCACACACACAAAGGTTAGGGCTACTATGGATTTCAGCAAATCTCTGGCTTGCCTAGCAATAATAAAGGAACTTCAGTGACCACAGATCTGTGAGTCAGGACGAGGCTTGGCTACAACTGTCAGACTGTCAGAAGAACTGAAGTCAATGATGAGAAGGTAGCTCAGGTGTGGGGTGCAACTTTGGATCTGCATCAAAGTGTGGTTGGTGCCTAACAAATAACAGACAATAATGATTGTAAATTTCCATTATACTAAGACGCACATCTCCAGTGAAAATAAAAACGTGTATGTTATGGTTTTGTGAGTGCTGATTTTTGCAGAGTTGTTAGAACCCTCTGCAAACACACAGTAGCAAAACAGTCAAATGAGGCAGGCTAGAGGAAACAGAAAAGAAAATCCACCTACATTCAAGGTACAAGACAATAATTTCTAAGCCTTTGGGATCTATTTTTTTCCTTGCATTGTAATGCAGTCAAGTGTATGAGTGATGCCTTTTGTGTCTGATAATGTCAAGTGTGAATGTCATGGGCAGCCCCCCATCTCTGATAGTATTAAAATGGTGGGAAGATGAAAAGCTTGGAAAAGTAAATGGAACAAATTAAATTAAAGTGGGTTGGAGGACAAGGAAAGTCACTCATCTATAGTTTGGTTTTGAGGTGATGTTGGTGACCGTGTCCACCTGAATAGGCTAGTAAAATCAGTGTTACTGAGGAAAAGTATGACACTCTACTCACTTAATTGTACTAGTAATTATTTTTGCTCCTTCTCATTGTGAAGTGTGTTGAAAAGAAAACAGCGTATATCTTCACATATACACTTCCATTGTATAGTTAGTCTCCATAGCTGAGCTTGTCAGTCAAATACACTAGACATCAAAGAGTTCAAGGCAAGTTAGTCAAGGTTTATAGAAAGTAACTGAAAACACAGGCAATTCAGAGAGGCAATTAATTCTAATAAATAAAGTATATATCTTTTTAGAGAGATGAAAATCCTCAAAGATCATAAAAATCTACCGTAATCAATGTCAGGAAACCAGAGATGAACATAACACTAATTGATTATATGGAAATAGCATAGAGAGAACATCACACCTTCTAAACCATGGGTCTGATCTCCGATGAATGGTGAAAGTTTTTCTTATGAAAACATGAAAACAAATGCATATACACAAAATCCCTGTCTAATGAGGCCATGACATCTGCAGTACAAACAAGAAATTGCAATAATTATAATAGGAAGGTCTTTCCTTACTGCTGAAGTCTAGGCTAATGCAGCAGATTATTCACGGGCTTCCAGCCTGTAGACTAGGCGTTCTAAACAGCATTGCTACAAGGGAAAGATATAGACTACTGGTAGCAGTACCTCCGTAAGGCTGCACTTCAACGGAAGAGTAGGTGCCCTGTTGATAGATGTTTCAGAATCTCCTGGGAAGGGTGTGTTGTGTGGTGGGACCTGCTCTTCCAGTACTTCCCCGTTCACATCCAGAGCCTGAACTCCTCTAAAAGCTGCCAGATCACCTCTCTCCAGTGGCTATCAAATGCCTTGGTTTGCCATTCAAGACTCTCCATCATACTAGCATCAGTCATTCTTTTTTGCCATGCGTGCCCTGTGCCCGCACTGATTTTGCTGATGGGAATTATTTTGTGTTTTCATATTTCACTCCTAATTCAAAGACACATTCCTCAGGATCTTCTCAACTTGCAGTGACCTTTTCTCCCCTGTTCTCCTAAGGGAGGGAGTTAAGACCTGGCACTTTCAGTCCAGTAGGCTGTTTGGCTCCTATTTTGTATCTTCATCAGATTCTCAGTGAGTGGAGAGACACCTCTTGTTGTTGTTAGGGGTGCGGTTTGGCACACTTAACTCATGGTACTTTGGATATAGTCAGTGCTTGATAGCTACTATTAAAAAAATACAACAAGAGGCAAACAGCAAATGAACTTTACTAGAAGGTAACATCTCCCACCAAGTTGTAAAGCTTTCCTTATTTAAAGACAGAAGGAAAAAAAAAAAAAAACACCACTATGGGTCAAGTACAAAAAAAAATGTATTTGAATCAAATAAAAATAAAAAAATCTGAAGAACGTCCTTATCCCAGTGGACTTACAGCACTAATTACAAAATAGAAGTAGCTGACACTTATGCCTTCTAAATATAAACCTTTTTGTCCCAGAAAAGAGAAATGAATGGGTGTTAAATCAAAACATCCTATGGAGCATTTTACACCTCAGGAATGAAAACTGACAAAGAAACAATTCTAGGCCAAAGAAGAATCCACCAGCAAAGAACCAGGTCTGCTTAAGGTAAGAAAAACGAAAGCTCTCCAAAACAGGTTACACCCTTGTCCTGTCTGCAAGTGCTTTTGTGATACCCAACACTCCCCTCTCATTGGAAAAAACATATATGCTTCTCTTTCACTATTGAAATCAGTTAATTGATCATTTCCAAAAATAAATACTACCATAGATAGAGGTCACTGGTCCTGAAATTGCATCAGTTCGTGTCTGGGTACTAGATTCCTGGGCTCCTCTGGGACATCTTTGTCATTTTATCACAGTGATTACAAGCAGAGTAGTTCCAGCGTGGGTGCCCTCAGTTTCTAGCGCTTATGTTTGCTCTCTGGATTCCGATTTTCTCCATCAAGCCTTATAGCTTTTGCTTTGGAAATCTGGCACTTAATATCCAATGTTAATTACATTTCCTATTCTGAGGAAAATCCTATTGGGCTAATTTTTCAAAATCATATAATGAAAGAACTTCAGTGACAAATCATGTAAGTTTTCGATTGTTTTTTATGGGTAGATCTATTAAGCACTTAATATTCAGTGGGAAAACAGTCTCAGAGCAATGAAATTCTATTACTTTAGAGGTTGCATGCTTTTAATTTCTTAATATTTCATTACATGTTGGCAACTGGTGCATATTTTTATAATGCGTTTGATCATGACTCTTCTCAGGGTATTCTATTTCAGTTCTTCCTCTGACATCATATTTGCATGTTAAAGGGTTTTAGCATTCAGGGATGAAATGTTCTGAATAGTAATGTGCAGTTAAGTTGATTTTTTAAAAACGGAAAACAGCAAATAGACATTATATATAGGGACTAAAGAGAACAATCTCATAATTTTAAAATCGAACTCAAGTTTTAATAGCTTTCTATAGAACATCATAAACGGTAATGATTCAATATAATTCATTAATTAGCAAATTATGCAAAATGCTATCAGCAGAGTTTGGGGAGAAGGATCTTTTTCCTTGGCTTTTATAAGTCTACCGCATTTCTTTTTTTCCTGTAAAAAAATGGTCTTTTCTTTGCTCTCCAGCAACATCTACTGGAAAATTCAGAAAAATGCTATTTATATGAATCAAATAGTTTGAGTAAGGACAGTTTTGATTACCATCTGCCTAAAAAGTGCATGCTGAACTACAATCCAGTTTACAACGAAATTATTTCTGCTTACTTTAGTTCTATTTTGTTCTCTAAGAAAAGGATAGTTATTTGGTGATGCAAAAAGCCAAGTTGCAACTTCACATTTAACGTCACCTTACTAGGAAGTAGCCATTTTCATAAATAAAAGCAAAGCACATATGATACAGACAACATATTTCTTTTGGCCCATCTTTTCAACACTTGCCACGTCTTTGTGAAATAATCATCATCAGCAGCAGAATAACAGCCTTCAATAGTTAGGTATAGCTAGAGTCAGAGAAAAGGTTTCATGCAAGAAAAAATGATATATCGAAAAAAAACGAGATTGAATTTGAGAAAAGCTACTTCAAGATTCTGCAAAGTTTCTTAAGTTGAAAAAAAATTACATGTGATGATTTTAAAACTCACTAAGCTACCACCAGCACGATTACATCAAATGTTCGACAACAGTGTCTTTTTCCCTTGTCCACATCCTTCCCTCTTTTTTTAACCATGAGGAGAAATTAAGTTTCCCCACACCTGTAACAGGGGCTTCCCAGGGAACTTCCACCGGAGATTATCTCTGGATGATGAAGTATGGTCAGACCCATAGTCCATTTGGTCTTTACTCCCCACTACTCAGCAGTTTCTGATGTCCTCATAAAATTGGATTCACAGGCAGCACCCACAAGATGCCATTAGATGGTCTGGCAAACACAAGATATGCCAGGGTATGATACTGAGGAGCAAGTCCGGTTGGGAAACTTGGAAGAAAAAATCTTATCCCCAAACACATACATAAAATATCCTCCCATCCGTGGCCGCTGAAATCAACAACGCCATAGTATAGCAGTTCTTTCTTAGACCAAACCTAGTACAGGCACTGAAGTCACCCTTGTATATATCATTCCAGAGGAGCATTTTTTAAACAGAATTTTGTCCTTTAAATATTCAGATTTTCTCATAAAAACATTTAAAAATGAATTGAAACATTCTATGCTATCTCTTAGGTAAAATCCTAGATATCATCTGAATTTCTGTTATCCTTAATTAGAAACTTGGCTAATTAGAGGTGGTTTTTTTTTTCTTTTTTGCTTTCTCAAATCTCAGTTTATTCATGTCAGCAATAAATTTTAGCAGCAGAAGCAATGAACACAGAATCAACAAAGACTGAGGTTAAAAACAAATAATCAAAACTTTAAAACAACAGAAGTAGCAACAGAAATCAAATACGGGGAGATTAGAGTGTATTTTATTATTGGGTTTGTTCAGTGTTAAAATAGATATGAACCTTTTAAGCTTTACCCCAAAGCTCTTTAAAGGAGAAATGCCATCAAATATAATCCACAACTCTCATTCATAGCACACAAAAGGGACATATTCCTAAAAGCTACCCACAGTGAAAAGCCATATGTATTCCACATTTAGGATCCTGATGCAAAGTTCTGACTTGAGGCTGGTAATCAGCCCCTCCATTATTGAACCGCTTAGAATCCAGAAAGGTTTATGAAACAGCACCTCCAGAGTTAACTCCCATTTCAAACTGTCATAATTCAGTTATCCTAATTATTTATCGGATCCCCTTCTACAACATGCCCTAACCTGATGTTTTAACTTCATATTTCATTTGGGACAATACTTAATCTCCATTTATGAAACATCAACCTGACACAGGTTAAGGAGATATAAGAAGCGCTTCACCCACAAGCTCCAAGCCAAACAAACCCCGCAGCTCGACTTAAATAAACTCTACCCTTGCTTAAACCTCCGGTGAAAAATTATTATAACACATCAGAAGTTCAGTTAGAAGAAAAATTTCAAATGTCAGCTGTCTCCCAGGGTTTAAGTCCCGGAGTTCAAAAGCAGTATCAATTGGATTATTTCTCTTTCCGTTAGCTGTTTAGAATTTAACGTAATGCAAAGTGCTATTCTGATCAAAATCATCTTTTTCATCTCTCTCCTTAAATAAAACGGAGGAGAAATCATTCAGTATAAATGCATTTACTATACAAATCTATTTTCAATTGAATTTGCTGCATGCTCTAATTCATCAAAATTAATACAGGTACTTTCTATGTTAAACAAAAGGAAGCCGACTGAAAAATCGGCTTCTGCTGCGGATGCCTTTCTCAATTACAAAACGGTGAAAACAGAGATTTAACTAAGCCACTCGGTCAAACCCTCCGGTCGGCGCTTACCTGCCTCAGCTGAAGGCTTCCTTCCCTTGTTAGCAGCGTGCAGCATCTCTAGCTCGCTCCAATCCTTACCACCGGTCTCAAATTACACTGCTAAGTCCACCCCCCGCCTTTTTTTTCCTTCTTCTTCTTTTTTTCTTTCTTTCTTTCTTTTTTTTTTTTTTTTCCAGCAAGAAAATGCTTATTGAAAGTGATTAGTTTTTGTTGTCCCTTTTAAGTCCCTCCTGCGGGAAGGAACAGGGGAGCAATGTGACGCCACCTTTTAATCTTTTGTAAGAGTGAAAAGGCAGAAAAGGAACGCTCGATCAAACTGAGCTGCACACATGCCTAAAACTCGCAGGAGAGGCTGCTGCTGCCTGGCGAAAGCACCGCTAGGCTTGAGTGTAAGAACAGAGAAGAGAGGAGAGTCAATGAATTGTGACAACGTATGTGCATCAAAGGCAGGAGGAGAGAGAGAACAATGAGCGAGGGAAAGGCAGCGAGGAGAGAGGGAGAGAAGCAGATAGAGAGAGAGAGAGAGAGAGAGAGAGAGAGAGAGAGAGAGAGAGAGAGAGAGAGAGAGAGAGACAGAGAACATCAAGAAAAGATAGAGCGGGTTTCAGGCAAAGGATTCTCAGAATAAAGCCACAGTGCAGTGTCTGGCAGCTTCTGTTTTTATCTCAGCGAGCATGATACACTGCCTCTCTCATTTAGAAACACATTCGTGTATCTTCCAGGTTTGAAAACTGAGATAATCGCAGTGTGTCTCTGGTTTTGTCTGATTGGCATTTAACTGTGTGGTGTACCTGTGATTTTTTAGGATGCGTTTATGTGCAATTTATTTCGCATATTTATTTATGTAGGCAAAAATGAAAGCTGCTAATTTCTACAGCAATTTGCAATGTAGTTTTCCTGGCAGATGGAACTCTACTTATCATAACTGCTGACAAACTGCCATGGGTAAACAAAAGAAACAAATGCTTCGTCGTCTTGATAATTGTCTTAAAGAAAAGAAAAAAGAGTCCACACCAAAATATTAGCACTTGCAAACCCTGTTTCCTAGTTCAAGTTTCAAAGGTGTTTCTCTTCATTAGTTTTCATTAATAAAGGCAAAATAAAAGGGAGGGCATGGTGTCTGAAGGAAAGGTATGGGAAAGAAGCTATTAGGAAAGTGAAAACCCTAAATTCTTTCTGGTTTCCCTCCAAATGTGACAACAGGATTGCTTTCGTGAGTCCTGGAACAGAGTTTTTGAGTCACTATTGCTACAGACTTTTGCTGCATCCTTCTCCCTTCCTGTACCATTTTAAAGTAGGTTCCATTTTTAACACAAAGTCGAAAAGAGATGATTTCCCAATTCAAATTGTTTCAAATGGTGTGTCACCAGCTTTGTTCCATTTCTACTCAACTCTTGCCACATGAGGGCTTGGATTACACAGTTAAATTCCCTAAGTGACCTCTTTTATAAGAATGTAAATTGCTGGTTCCAAGGTCAAGTATTTGGTATAAGTTATTGGTGAAAATGACTGCTTGCTTTTCATGGTAAGCTGAGCTAAAACAGTAAGTAAGTGAACAGGAAGAGGAGATGCCCAAGCTTTTCACTGACCATCTCTTTGAAATTAACAAATTCCAATATCTGAAAGTAAATGCTATGTGCCCTACTTATAAAAATTATCATTTTAGAAACATAAAAAATAGAAAACCCAAAATACACAACCATTTCATTGCAACTTTCTTATGTCCCAACAACATATCTTTGGACCCTAGGCATCTTGTAATTTGGAACTCCTATGTAAGCCACCAGATATAGAATGAGAATTGGTCCAAGAAGAATAACACTCTCTTCCCCCACACTGGCCACACTGCTGTACCCAAAGAGGGATTGCTTAATCTTGTTACACTCAAAGTGTCATACTTTCCATGGTTTGCCAATAGGAGAGTATGTTTTTCCCTTGGACCCAAATAAAGAAGTAATCCCCACCTCCAACCCAATGTGCTCAGGATGAAACTCTACTTATCATTAAGGCAGAGCAGAGAATGGAGAACACACAGGGGCTGAACAGAAGGCAGCTGGCCAGAGAACAGAGAGTGCTCAGATGTAGAAGGGAAAGGAAGCTGCAAGGCCCGGATAGCAGGGAGGGAAGTGGTGACTGGTAAATCCGGAATTCTCTGCAGACATTTTGCAGAGTGTATTGGAAGCAGCCTCCTTTAAATGGCATTATTGATACAGGTTCTATAGTTAAAATTTACTTTATACAAGGGAATAAGTGGACTGAGAATTTTGTGCCAATAAAAATAAGGATACAAAGATGCAACTATTTGAGCAGAATAAAAACAGGGGAGGGGCCCAAGGGTTATTGAACAGGATCAGCAAAGCATCGTCAGTGAAAGACAAAAAGAAATCAAGGCAGACCAAAAGAGAGATTTTTAAAGCTATAAATGGCTATCAGTGTTGCTGCTTATTTTTACCGCTTTCTTAGTGAGGAGGTGGGTACCCTGAGTGGATATCATTTGTAGCGGAGTGGATATATATGATATCAAGATATAAGATATCTTGAGTGGGGTGGGGGACTAGCTGCTTATACTGGGATGACCAAGTTATATTAATATTTCTTACTGGAATGTGACTTTTACATAACTTATTTTTTTTTGGGAGAGCTTTATATTCACATGCTTACATTACAGCGTATGATACGGTAGTTAAGTACTCAGTTTTTGGAACCAGGTTACCCTGCGTAGGATTGAATCCCAGCTCCACTACCTAGTTGCTGTGTGACCTTGATTGAGTTATTTGGTCTCACCATGGGGCTGTGTCCTCATCTTAAGATGGGTGTAAGGCTACCTGCCTCATAGGTTGTCATTAAGAATAAATGATGCCTGTGTAGTGAGTTCTGCTCCCAGCACATAGCAAATGCATTCATAAATGTTAACTTCTATTGTTAGGAAACCCACTCAACAGCTCTTTAAAGTTTTAAAAATGCATAGCATGGACAGTATTTCATCACCTCAAAATGGATGACTCATAAATACTTCTTTCCACTCTGACCTTCTTTACAAGCTCCACTTCTTCAAACTCCCCTCTGGGTTTTTCCACTTGGATAAGATGCTTAAAACTCAACAAGTTCTACAACCCAACTCATGAACTCACCCCCAAAGCATGCCCTTTGTCCAAATCTCACCAGTGTAAAAATGGAAAATCCTTTGAACCATTCAGGGCTCAGTTCTTCCCCCTACCCCCACCCACCCCCACTGCCACAATCATTCAATTACCAATAACTTAAATACCATCCCCATATCTCTTCAAGTTACTGTTTCCAGACCTCTGATACTTCTTGATTTGTGTATTTTCCCCTGGACTGTTGCAGTAATTCTTTAATGCAGCACTTCTTTAGGCTTTTTTTTTTTTTTTTTTCTGTGCTGAAACACAGGAAGGGTGGTGAAATGCAGCATCCATTCCAGGGTGCATTCCTGGGGTTTTGGCAAGGACTGCACCAGAGATCATAATACCACCTTTCCCCTTCTAGGAATGCACTTGGAATCTGAGTGAAGGAGAATGACTTTATTCTACGTACGACCTTGAGTCTGCCCTAATGTATAAACCAGCTAATCTTTGGCAAACGAATACTTTACTATTAATGTCTTGTTCATTGTGACACTTCTCCCAACTGTCATGACACAGCTATCGAAAACAGCCATTTTAAGAGGGTTTTTTTCGTCTCCAATTCATCCTTCTCAAGCCAGAATAACCTTCTTAAAATGCCACTCTGAATGATATCTATTCCCAATAGTTATTGATTGGTCAATTGAAAGTCTGTTTTATTTCATCATCTTATGTATCAGCTTGCAAATCATCTAAGGTTCACAATTCCTTAGGGAATAAAGTGCAGATTTGTTTGCCTCATATTCAATCGCATCTGCGGTTTGACACCAACCTATCTATATAAACACTGGTCCTATCCCTACTGCTCAAGAGCTTATTGTACACCCAGCCTGATGCATATGCATCCCTTTCAGAGCCTCAAGTACATTATTCATTCTCTTTAGGATGTCCTCTTCTCCTTCATATCAACACATTTAATTCCAATCATTTTATCAGAGACCAGGACAGGTTACATGTCCTCCACAAGGCTATCCTTGACCTTCCTGGTTTGCAGTGCTGAAATGGTGTTAATTTCCATAGCTATCACAGTGCTCTGGGATGTATCACAATTAGGAGCTTGGCTTTGGGTTAGTACTAGGTACAAATCCCCACCCTGAAATTTGTTTCCTAATTGTGGAACATGGGTCAAATTCCTTTACTCTCTAAACCCTGCTCTCCTGATCTGTAAAATATTGTGAGAACTTAGTAGCTAACACATATAAAGTGATTAGCATAATAGCTATTATATAGCTAACACCTACACAGTAATGAAATAGTTCATAGTAATGGGAATGCTTCTTAAATGACAGGGACTTATCATTGCCTCTAATTTCTAACCTCTCAACAACTCACCAAATGGCTATTACTAGAACCACTTTACAGAAGACAAAACTGAGATTTAGCAAAATTAACTTACCTGACATCACATGAGGAGCAAATGACAAAGCCAGGATATTAACCCTTGCCTTTCTACCTTCTAGTTATTTTTATCTGTGACAGGCATTGAGACTTGGCTTATGTCGTATTGTTTTATTATGACTTGGCTTTTCAGATTTGTGCCCCATTCTTCCATATATATTATAAGTTAAATGAGAACAATATTCATGTTTTAAATACTCTGCATCTTTAGTGCCTCCCACAAATCTGTAAACAAAGTAGTTTGCTTACTCGATAAATATTTGTTGACTGATCATCTATGCTCACAGAGATTAAAATTTTTAACCACATTTAAATTCAGCGACACTGTTTTTTGGAGGAAATGATTTCATCTTGTTTTCTATGAAAACCATCAAAATTATACAAAATAATAGAAAAGACAAACATTACATATAAATGATGTATCTATGGCGGCGCAGATAGAAACTAATGAAGTTCTCTGCAAAAAAAAAAAAAGAAGCTATAGGAAGGTGATACTCATTGATTTGGCTCCTCATACTTGGCATTTACATTCTGCTTGAAGATGGGCCCCTCAGGCCACCCATTCCATGCGTGTAACAGGAAAAGTTATTAGCTGAAAGTCATCCGTTTAAGGTTACACAGAAAGACAGAAATAACCAAACAAATATCCACAGCATTTAATCACCTTTAATTCTTTCTTTTTAAGTAAATGCAATAATTATGTTCTCTTTTATTTTCTCTCTGGCTAAATCTATATAATACTAAAACAATCTGGAACAACGTAAAAAATTCCAATATGATGTTTTTCTGTGTACATGGTGAGGAACGATATTGTTAAATTTTCAACAAGTGGAATAAATGCTTTTATTTGAAATATATATTTATATCTACACACGCACACATCATGGTCTCTGCCTGTCTGTGCACAAATGAAAACCAATACAACTAAGATGAGGAACTGCCTGTGCTCCCCATATTAGGATAATCGGTGTCACACACTTACTGTCTTGGAATATCTGCATAAACTTCATGAACTCAGGGTATTTTTGTGGTTGCTGTTTTTTTTTTTTTTCACTGCTATATGCCTAGTACTTAGACCAGTGCCAACACATGATGAGTGCTCAGTATATATAGGTCTGATAAATGAATGAGCCATTCCATTTTGCCTATATTCATCTATTTCTGGCAATGTTTTAAAATCTGGTCTCTATACCTCCAAACACAGTTTGTACCCTGCTTTTTTTCTCCCTATGTTTTCCTTTTGCATGGAATGATTTGTTCAACGTATGCTATCCTGTGTTCAGTGTAAGCTATTTCCCCATCCAAAAACATTTTTTCTACATTATATTAGCTTGTAGTAAATGCTCTTTTCTCTCATTTCTAAGCACCCATTGCTCACAACATTTTAATACATATAATTTTCCAATTAATCTTGTCCTGCCTCTGGATATCTTATGCTTTTGGTGAACTATTTTCTTCTAATATTACTAGGTCATTTTTATTCGATTCAAATCTTATTCCATCACATAGATTTTAAGTATACTGAAGGTTACATGAGCAAAGTACCTTTTCTGAATAATATACATTGCTATTCCTTTGAGTACTACCTTGTACCTAGAATGTGTTTATTAAAAAAGACATGTTGATTTGGTAGGCATGCAATTCTGATGGGCAGGCAATTCTGTAGTTCAGAAATTATGTGAAAGAGCTTATAATACAGTTCCTGGCCTTTTAAAAACTGTTGTTAAAATACATCTAGCATAGTGCAAAAGTGCATAAAATTTTCTGTAGCTTTTTTACCCTGAGGTGGTATGAAAGGCCATTTATTTATTTACTTTGGCATGTATTGTGTGTGTGCGCACATGCTGTGCATCCACCAGTGTTCAAGTTGGTGTCAAAATGGGCTCATCCCAACAAATTGAGATGCTTGTGGTAGGAAGAATTAACAACTGCCCTCTGGAAGAACATCGTTTTCTCCTAATCATTTATACATTAGTTGGAAGTCAGCTTGTGTTGACCCATGGGCAGCTAATCCTCAGAGAGAGAGTTCTCAATTCTATAGGGTCTCTTCTATGGGGTCATTGCAGGCCCAATTATACATCTATCTCTTCTAGGAGGTTTGTTTTTCCTTAGGGTGAATATGATAGGAAAGAACATTATGGAAGAAACCTCATGTTAATAAGCCTTTTACCTTGGACAAAAGGAGGTTTCTTAGGAAAGATTTTTCACCCTCATAATGCTCTTGTCTGGATTCACTAGAGATTCATGCTCCTGAAATTGCCTACGCATTTTTTTCCAAAAAGAAAAAAAAATTATCCAAAATAAGAAAAGAACATAACCTTTGAAGTTTCAAAAAAGCCCTAATGCATCTTTCCTGTTTGTATAGAGGAGATAATTCAGGTCCATTTTTATATCTGTTCCCAAAATTGCAATGACTATATAATGTGATTAAAGGTTTGTGATGTAGTTTTCTGAAGTTAGTTTATTGGCTATAATATTTATATCAGATCTAAATAAATTATAATATTTATTTATCCAATTAAAACAAATGATTTTACTTATAAAATTGCTAACATTAATTACCATGTTCTGGCATTTTCGTTTTTGTCTGCTGAACAGAAGTCTGTCTTGTCTGTTTTCCATTTCCGTTTTGCATAGTAATTGGAACAACCGCTTAAGTGAAAACCAAAGTAGTGGAGTCACCTTATCATAAAGTAAAAATGGAAAGCAAATCAAGAGACCCTCAAATCTCTGCTTCCCATGGTGGACCAAATAGAGTTGGCCTCAATGAAACTCTAAGTAAGAATTTATGTTCCTCTCCATTGAGTTGAATACAGGCTTTGGTGGACTATTTGGTTCTTGTTACTGATGTTTTTCAATATGGAACATTTGAAAGCATCCAACCAGAAGTTTCACAATGATCACAGCCTTGAACGTATTCATCAGAAAAACGCATTCGCTGCTACAGGTTTTATTTTTACAGGAACCAGTGTGCTGCACTGTTTGCGAGTTTTTTCAATACTCTTACCCATGACAATCACAAAAGCAATTCACAACCTTACTTATCAGATAGTTCTGTTTTACAATAATCTGGTTGCTATTTGTAAAATCCAGGATAAAACAGTGCAATTTCTGATGCTGAATATCTGAAAAAGCTCTGGAAGCTGCTAGGAAGAGATATGCACTAAAATATGTAATGTGATGGAATTACAACAAACAGACATTCTGGAGGGTGTACACTCTAGTGCATCTCAGAGTACGTGACATTTAATGGTGCTACTTTCAAGATTTGCAAATAAATTCTGGATTTAAACAGCTCCCTTCCACTCACAGTTTTTCTTAGCTCCCATATTTAACTCTTTCATTAAAAAAAAAGATAGAACTCTCTCAAAAAGAGTGATCAACCAAAACAATCGCCATTGAATAGCTGTTTCCAGAACAAAATGAAAGTAGGGATCTCAATGAGATCATTTATTTTATGAGCTAGTTCCTAAATCTCTAGATGTACCATAAAAGTAACAACATCTTTCTGATGAGAATTTAACACAAAAAAGTGGTGATTTTAACAGCTGACAAATCCCCTATAATAAGGAGCTTAAACAACAACAACAAACAAGCCACTTTTCCAGTGATTAGGCTGTGCAGATGTCAAAGAAAAGTGCCACACACTGCCTTAAAGAGCATAGACACCCGTTAAATCTTTCTGGGTGTTTCACGACCATATATTAGTGTGAGAGGAAAATGGGAATAACATACACCACTGAGAGGCAGTATAGTGCAATAGATAAAATGACTGCATTTCAATCCCCGATCTGTCACCATCTCAGCACACAGCATTAGCTAAATCACTTCACCGCTATCTACCTCAACTTCTCCGTCTATGAAATGGGACCAGTATCTCCCAGTTTCTGATAATAAGATAAATAAAAAGGCATTAGCATTAAGGCCGATGCCCCTATCATTTCTTTGTGCAGTTAAATTCTACCAAAGCTAAATCTACTCCAAGAGAAAAAGGAATTGCATTCTGTAAGCTAAATGCTGTTCTGGAAGCTGCTGGGGCACCAATTAAGAGAGTGATGTAATAAACCACTCAATAATCCTGCACTGACTGAAAGAATTAATGCTGTTCACCTCTGTTGCTGTGAGTGCAATACCATGTACTCAGAAGGTGCTCAATAAATATTAGCTGACGGTGATATTGACAGGCTGCTCTGTAGTCACAACACTAAGTGAATTGCTAAGTTTACAATTGTTCAGAAAACTCGTTGAATAATTATTGGCAATAAAAGAAGCCTATCCCTGACCCCATTTACTTTTTTTATGACATCATCTCATGCATAATAAGACCATCACCAATCCCTGGAAGCTTAATAGCCTTGTCGTAGTGACTAGAGACAATAAAAATAAGGTCATCCTGTAAAACATATTTAGAATTTGGGCACTTCTTAAAACTTTTATTGTTAGTGCTCTGTTGCAATCTATCATCATTTCTTTTCTGGATATTGTAGAGCCTCCCGATTGCTTTCCATGATTTCTACTTTAGGCCCCTGTGGCAGTTTCTTATGCTGGGACTCCTAATGTACCTTACCTCCATGTATTCACAGTCTTGAATAGTTCTTTCTCATACTGACTCTGGGATTGGCCATGACTTGCTTTGGCCAGTGGGTCATGAAAAATCATGATACAGGCAAAGGCACAAGAAGTTCTTGAGCATCAGGGCTTACCCTGTTGAAAGAATGCCATAGCCATGACAAGGCTTTTCCTGGCCTCCTAGCAGATGAAAAACCAAATGAAGGGAAGGGCTCAAACATTTCACGGAGTCCAGCTCCATGTAACCCACCAGCTGGATGAAACTGTACAGGTGAGTACATGCAAGTCCCACAAAAGAACTGCCTGGTGGACACATCAGAATTTGAGAAACAATAATTTCCTCTGGTTTAAATCTGCCAAGTTCTGCTGCATTTGTTATCTAGTAATAAATGACTGATACGTCCCCTGCTGATAATTTCTAACTCTGCTAATCAGGATGATTCTTTTTACAATGTAAGCCAGATAATCTTACTTCTCCTCAAAGCCACCTAAGAGCTCCTTATCTCAGAGGAGCCCAAGTCTTCCTAAAAACTTGACATGCTCTGCCGTTTCCCCGATTTATCTGATGTCAACTCTGATCTCTCCCTCACTTTCCTCTTTTCAGCT